TAGCTCTGGCTGTCCTGGAACTCAGACTCTGCCCGCCTCTGCCCCCTGAGTACTGAGATGAGCAGCACCACCGCCCAGCTGAAACTTAAGTTTTTCTTACACTGTATTCTGACCATGTTTCCACCCCTTCTCCCTACCTGCGGAACTTCATTCTTTTCTTTTTTTTAATAACAGGCACAGAGGAAAACCACACAGTTAAAAACCAAAACGTACAAGTAAACGACCAATAAGCCAAACAAATAAAAAATCCCAAGCAAAGAAAAATAACACCATTGGGTTGGTTTTGCACTGGCCAACTACGGGGCGTGGGCGTGCCCCGAGGTGTGGGTAGTGAACAGTGCACTCCACTGGAGAGCACGGCTCGTCCTCTGCAGTGTCCGCTGGAGGCGGCTTCTTCCCCAGGGTGGGAGCGCCAGTCCTCTCCCCCGGGAGTGCGCCGTCTCGCTGAGCTCGGGCGTGTGTCGGTCGGTCCTGCTGTGGGTCCGTCAGTTCCCATCCGCTGTGGGGCTGACCTCGGAAGGCTTTAAGTCAGGATTGTGGATTCCGGCCACCCTGCCCAGCACACAGCGGCTCCTGCTCACACCTCGCTTCTCTGCTCAAGCAGGTGTTCTTAGTCTGGGCCTCCACACTGCTGGAATCTGGAATGTCATGTCAGCAATCTTTAAAGCAAGGCCTTGTCTCCAGCCCCTGGGGCTCTGCTGCCCGTGGTGGCATTAAATGCCACAGCCACCAAAGGTGTCTCACCTCTTCTAGACCCATCACACCCACCCCATGGGGACTGAGAAGCCACCAGGAGCCAGGGAAATGATGTGAGTTCCGTGGGGCACTCAGGAGGCACTGGTCACTCCCCAGGCATGGGCGAGCATTTAGGGTCTCTGGAATGAGACCAGCAGAGAGGCTTTCACAGTGTCTCCAGTTCCTGTTTCCTGGTCACTGGGGTGACCCTGAGCTGGGATCCCCTGAGAAGGGGAAACCCAGGCCCACATGCTGTCCTCTGTTCCCACTTTGTGTCGTTAACTTCCAAATGCTTCTTGTGCACTGGGAACGTGTCAGTGACTAGGCCATCTGCTGGTTTCCTTCCTGGAGGGGACCAGCAGGAACAGTATTCCCAGAGAGGGAACAGCATATGCAGGAACCTCTAGGAAAGACAGGACAGGATTATAGAGGAACCGAGCAAGCAGAAATGTGCAAGACCAGGGTGCAACCTGCAGGCTCCGAGGACCCCCAGCCCTCAGCCCTGGAGGGCAAGACTGAAGGCTTCCCCATGTCTTCTGGTGGCACAGGGTCAGGGACCCAGTGGTGAGGAGCAAAGGTAAGCTCCCTGGGCAGCCTCAGATCTCAGGGCCTACAACTCCCAAGATCTGACCTGGGCCCCGGAGGGAAAGCCTGCCTTCAAAGCAGGTGTGGCTGGGGTTGTGGACAGCCAGCAGAGCGGTCCCAGAGTCAAATACCACGGCAGAAGGGAGAGAGAGAGAGACACAGGCGCGGGCCTGGGCGAGGGTGCGGTGGGGTGGAACCCTAGTTTCCGGGCCTACCCACATCGCCACCAGGTGGTGCCCGAGAGCCACACTGTGCCAAGGGGTCCCCACTGCCTGAGGCCCTGCGACCACGGTAGCAGCTGGCATGGGTCCTCGCCTGCACCCAAGGTCTCTGGAGGCCCTGGGATCCAGCAAGGTTTGGGCCTCAGAATCCAGAGTTTCTGTCCATCCTTGGCTACATCACAAGTTTGAGGCCAGCCTGGGCTACATGAAGCCCACCACCCCCCTCAAAATAACAATGATCATAATAACAAATGAGGGGAGGCATTGGGCTGGCTTTGTGAGGAAAAGTTCTTAGCAACCAAGCCTGACAACTCGAATTCATCCCACAAAGACTCCTCTGACTTCATATGCAAACACACACACACACACTCACACAGGGACACACACAGACATTCACACAGGAACACACACACAGACACACACACACACACAGGGACACACACAGACACACACATTCACACAGGGACACACTCATAGACACATACACATTCACACAGGGACACACACACATGCATACATACACAGGGACACACACACAGGGACACACAGACACACACACACATTCACACAGGGACACACACACATAGGGACACACACAGACACATTCACATAGGGACACACACACATGCATACATACACAAGGACACACACACAGACACACATTCACACAGGGACACACACATGTATACACACAGGGACACACACACAGGGATACACACACATTCACACAGGGACACACACATGCACACACACACAGGGATACACACACACATGCACACACACAGACACACATTCACACAGGGACACACACACAAGGACACTCACACATGCATACACACACAGGGACATACACAGAGACACACACACAAGAAGTAAATGCAATTTTTAAAATTTATTTAAATTTATTTTATGTGCATTAGTGTGAGGGTGTCAAATCCCCTGGAAATGGAGTTACAGACAGTTGTAAGCTGCCCTGTGGGTGCTGAGAATTGAACCTGGGTCCTCTGGAAGAGCAGTCAGTGCTCTTAACCGATGAATCATCTCTCCAGGACCATAAATGTAATTTTTTTAATTAGGAAAACGCCCAGCATGGTGGCACATGCCTCCCAGCACTGGGGAGGCAGAGGCAGAAGATCTGTGAGTTCCAGGCTAGCCAGGGCCACATGGCTATTATCCAAGTGAATATATATGGGGGGAAAGAGGGAGGAAAAGACGTAAGGCAGTGGGAGTGGGAGTCTGTCTTCCCAGCACTGGAGGGACTGAGGCAGGAGGCCGTAAGTTTGAGGCTAGCCTGAACAACATCATGAGACCCTGTTTCAACAAACACCACAACAAAACTGTGTTCTACATGTAGCACCCTGGGGTGCTACAACATTCAACATGAGCAGTGAGCATTCTCAAGATAGAGAATGTCAACACAGATAATTATCCAAGGCCTGACAGGCTGCTTTCCTTCACATGTAAAAAGTGCCTGTGAATCAATAAGAACCAACACCAGTACAATGGAAAACGGGGTGAACTATTTAAGTGACGTTTAGAAAAGCAGATTCAAATGTCCCTACAAGATGAGAGCTGGCCCTTTCAGCAGCGCTGGGACCTGAGCCTGTCTGGCTTTTCAGAGATTCTCTGAGCTTGCTGCCATTGCCTGGGTCAGAACACAAAACCGTGATCTCTCCAAAGAGTCAAACCACAGAGCCCTCGGGCCACAACCCCCTGGCCTGTCTCAGCTCAGGTGGCCTCCACGTGCTGCAGCCCCATGGCCCTGGCCCTCGCTGTAACCAGTGGGTGCCCACAGGTGTGATGAGTGACACTCAAGAGCTCAGCCTATGGGTGATGGGTGGGGCCGTGGGGACCTGGTCCCACAGATGGAGCCAGCCATCCACCGACTGCCCCTGCTAGGACTCAGTTTCCCCGTGCTGCAGGTTGAATGTTCATAGCTCAGTTGGTGCATTGTGCCCTGGTCTGACTGTCCACACAGGGACCACACAGCTACCTGAGCCAGGATCCTCAGCCCAGTGACTGAGTGAGCTTCCTGAAGTGGCAAGGCGAAGAGGACCAGCACCAGCGCTGGTGGAATTTGCTCGCACCCCGCCCCACCCTCCCACTCCCACCCCCCACCCCCACCCCCCACCCCCGCCACCTAGAATCCCCCAGTGAGGGGCTGGGGGCGTGGTCAGGGTGGAGCCCCGCCCCGAATCCC